AACACGGTAGATCGAGTTCAAAGATTTGACTCTCATCAGCATGACGAACGATTCGCTACTCTGAAAGTGGCATCTACCTTGTGTCGATATTTATGGCCTGACTTTGGATCTGAAGCTTGCTTCTGCCAGGTTAGATACAATATTGGACAATAAACAATGATAAACTTCGGACTTAAAGCGGGATAGGGATGTATAATGGAGGGGGTTGTCTGCACTGTACTCTAGATGATCTAGGATGTGAAGCTTGCTTAAGCCTAGAACACACGAGTTCCCCTGATATAGTAGCAATGGCTAGATTCACTTCCTTCCCACTTGCACTGTTGTTGACTTGTAGCTACAATATTAAATTGATTCGTGGAAATCGGTCTCGGATGTGAAGCTTCCTTAAGCGCCAAACCCTGAGAATACTGTATTACTCGAACTTCGAGAATTTTCTAAATGAATCTAGACTAAAGGAGCCAACTTGAATCCATAAAATTTTGAATGCTACATTTTAAAATACCGCTCTATATTTACACCGTTCACCAGTTAATATGGCTGGGAGGATTGGGAGGATTCATATTAGATTGTCGATTGTTTAAGATTAACTTGATATTTTAGCGTATCAGAGCTGAAATTTTGCATGACTATTTCAAATGACTATTTTACATGACTATTTTTTCATATTCCGGGATGTTGAGGAAGGAGGAATGGATAGCTCGCGTTTTCTGCGCGTTTTTTGGTGTCTGAATGCGCAAAAAATAGTCAAGCAATCTTATAGGTAAGAAATAGTCATGGAATCTAGGAATGCGCTCGATTCGAACTTCGAGTCGATAAAATGATGTAACATCGCGTTAGCCCTGAGAGCGACCAATTTTGATTTAATTTTAAATTAATGTGAATATTTTTTCCACAAGAATCTTTTTTTACCGGTTATCAACAAATTTTGACTAGGTGTTAAATTCCTGGACGCCTGACTATTTGCCACTGGGCTGTAGAGAGAGTTCATACTTTCATACGACAATGTAATGCATGTTTTCAAATATGCGGGTGTGGTGCGGAGTTAATAAGGGTTAATTTCTATTGATTATTGTTTAAGATACTATTTTTAAAGATACTATTGGATACGTGAGGGCACTCCGAATAGAATTGCTCACCTAATGCGGGTTTTGACTCAGCAGGTAAACACTCCTACCCTTTTTAACTGCGAAGTGAAATCCCGGCCGAAGGCCGGGTTACACTGGTTACATTATATTATGGTTGACACTGTAACTGGTAACAAGGTATTCGTGGCAGCTCGAGTGATCAGCAAGGAAGCTCAAGAAATAATTTATAAGGTATTTAAGCATTGGATATCCATATTCGGACCACCATCGACTTTCATTTCTGATAATGGAGGAGAATTTGTAAGTAAAATACAATTTTTATTTTCCACAGAAGAATCAATACATATTGAATTATAAATATCCGATAATTCCATTAATAATCATTAAAAGTTGCGTTGTCATTTGTAAAATCAAAAACGAAAAGCCCCACGCTGAACGCGCGCGGCATTTTTTCTGCAGCTGCCTAGCTTCAAGCTTGTAGCCGCTAACATCAAAGCCGCCGCGCGCGCCCAGTGCTGGGGTGCATTCTCATTAACAATTAAACTTGGTCAAAGATATTTATATACAATTCCTAAATTACAAATTAAATCAATAATCATGTTAATATGATTATTCAACACTACTCGACAACAAACATTTGCCGGCCCATCAACGATTCAGTCGCCGAAACAAAAATCAAATGTTTGCTTTTTCGTTCCGGGGACTGTTTGAACTCAGTACTATATCCGACTAATCACACTTTATAATGGTTAAAATACAAAGTAAAAAGATTTTCCTCGATGGGCCGGCATTCGCAACCGCGAAACGTTTTGAGTACGACAAACGATGACACCACCACCAGCCGTTAATTGATAAGTCCATGGGTGACGGGATAAAGTTAAAGTAAGATGTGTAATTTCATATTGCCTATCACCTATCACCTAAGTTACTTTGCATATACTGCTTCTAGTTACACGATAGCGATCTCAGTCCCCAATAACGTGTGACCCAACAGAGGGGATTGTGGAAGGACACGTACATTTTTCATTAACACGTGCCCTGATTACCCCCTCCGTTGAGCTACTATACGGGGAACGTTGACCGCCAGTCTGTAGTCAGATCGTTAATAAATTATACTTTAAAATTGGTCGCCGGGTGATGGTGTCAGTGAGAGACGTTAAGTTAGGTGAACATTGGTACAAAAATATAATAATCTAGCAGTTTATCTCAAAGTTAAAATCACTATTTGTTAAAGTATACAAACAGTTCTATTCAGAAGAACAAAGTCCGAGAGCAGAGAGAAGATTTGGAGACTATACACGCATATGTGGGGTTTAAATTTGGTATTAGTAATTTTAGGGTTCGACCGAAAATGTTGGTCGGTTGGTTAATAGGGAGCAGTCACTGTCATTAGAATTATCAGATTAGGAGCAACAATTAGAATCAAATTGGACATATTGTGTATTGTGTATTGTGTATTGTGAAATCAGTGAAATCTAGAATGGCGCCAAAATGCTAGCGCGCCTTGTTATGCGCGCTAACATACTAGCTGCTGAAAATAAAGAAGTATATGCATGATAATGTCGTTTGGCGGCAGCGCCTGCCGATACCTGGATTATATTGTGTTTAACTTAGAATTCAGTGAAATTTTTGTCATTCCATTCAGCACCATACCTGTTTTGGGCATTCATCAATGACTTTTGTAATTTATTCTTAACAGAAGAACAAGAGGAATTAAAATTAAATGAGCCAATTTTACAAAACTCATTCCACAGCCACGCTGATTTATAGATGAATTGTTTAGTTGGAGAGGGTGTGATTAACATATTGTCTTTCCTATGAGATACGGTGAACAAAGAGAACATTGAAATTGGTACTCTTGTCTTAATTATCTTAAAAAATTCCATTAGGCAACGTAGTCTATATAGGTTCTCTACAGCTAGTAATTTATGTTTTGCAAATAGAGGTTTGGTAGACTCCTTAACATAAAAATCGCAACCCAAACGTTGGGAGCCGAACGGTCTAACTCTAGCACATGTTTTGAATTTGTCTACATACCTTTTATGGTCTCCGAATAGAATTCTTATACATTTCTTCTGAGTAATAAATAGTGAATTTAACTGTAAACGACTGTTTTAATCAAGCTTGCTCAGTACTGAAAATCAAGATTCAGACATCACCAGCATACTCACCATGATGCAATGGAATCGTAAAGAGACACAACGGCATTTTGGTATAATGCTTGATAAAATCCTTATTAGAAGAAATGAGATGTGAAATTCTTTGAGTAATACATACGGATTCAGCCCCCACCAACTAGTATTCGGAACAAACTCCTGGAACTTTACACCATGAAGGTGTTCTTAAAAAAGTCAGTGATCACCTCAACGCTCTCTCTTTCTGGCTAGACAGAAGTTTGTTGAATTAGAAGCTAACGGCTAGTTATTGGGCCGCGCTCAGCCTGTCATTCCGCCAAATCTTTATTCGAACATAATAGCCTGGGGTCCCCAGGTAAACGGCAAGCTCAAGAGAACACTTCAACAAAGGATATATTATATATATCTTGTGTAGTAAATTTCGTCGAAGTAGCGCGCGCCGCTTTCTTCTCGGAACTTTGGACCGAGGTAAGTTGTAAGTGCTCCAAAATAGCGCGCGCTGAGCTAGTCCATTAACAACAATGGACATCCTAAACATAACCTACCAGGATGCGCGCCGAGTTGGATTCGTCGACGCAGTCCCGTTTGAAATGCAAATACTTTACGAGTATCACCCGTTAATGTTTAACTAGCCTGTCACGTGACCAGAACAGTTTTTTGCCCATAATGCATAACTAGACTTTTGTAGGTTTACAACCTACCAGGACGCGCGCCGAGTTGGACTCGTCGACGGTTTGTAGCGCGATGCACTACTGTGTACTGGGTCGCGCGCGCATCAAATAATGCTTCTCGCAACCACACGTATGCAGATTGGCGAGATGCGAAGGATTGACATCGTGAATCAAGTCGACGGTCCAATATATAAAACAGATATGGAATTGGAACAGATATTTTACGAGTATCACCCGTTAACTAAACTTTCCTTGTAGTTGTATCACGTCGTGACCTTCACCTAACCATGGCCATGTGCGGTGATTACCCCTTATAGTGAAACGAAAATGGGGGTCACGACTTCACTTGATTCACGATGTCAATCCTTCGCATCTCGCCGATCTGCATGCGAGAAGCATTATTTGATCATGATGCGCGCGCGCGACCCAGTAGTGCATCGCGCTACAAAATACGCTGCTTTTAGCTGTAACATAATGTTTGATGGTTGGATATGCTTTAAACTTTTCGGACATTTTCCTTGTAAGTCTATGAGTAAGCTTACCAATTTTTGTTGCAATCGGAGGTCGGGAAGGATACTTAATATCTATTTGTTTGAAGAAAATTGTGCTGGCCGAAATTAGCGCTAAAAAACCATCCTACAGTTGGCACGCGCGGCTCACTGTCGATGGCGCACTACCTATTGTTAATTTCTTCATCTTGCTCGTTTCTCTTTGCCTCACGTTGTAGGCCCGCTGCGCACCAATGCGCGGCCGTATCGTGGCTTTTGCCAGGGTATTATTAAATGAAATTGCGATGAGGGTCACGACGTTGTTCTATTTATAGGTTTACAACCTACCAGGACGCGCTCCGAGTTGGACTCGTCGACGGAACAGATATTTTACGAGTATCACCCGTTAACAGGTTACCTAGTAATAGTATATAGCGTGCTAGTGCTACTGCTAGTTTATAATTGCTCGCTTCTCTCATGAAGGGGAAAAGAGGAGGCCCGGTGTATCGAAGTTTCCGGTATCCGTATAGAGAGGCATGGTGTGTCGGTGTAAATGTAGAGGTTTTACTTATCGATTATTTCATTTTGAAATCCCGTTCCCAAACTAAGAAAAACAATTTTTAATGATTAGACATCAATCTAATTCTATAGTCATGGTCGGTCATCGACATTTAATAAAAACATCAAAATATACGAAAAGTTAACACGGTAAATGTGGCCAATGAATTTTGATTTTCAGTAGGAACATTGTTTCCGAGAAACAAAAACCTTTTAGCTTAACAACGCCATTTCCAATTTCGTCTGCTCTTTAGCTTTACCGAGTTCATTATTATCTTTTCTTGCCACATGGCGAATGTGGCCTTGTTTGCTGCTTACATTATATAAACTGGTTTGGACTATAAACAATAAATGATAAACACCATTACATAAACTGAGGAGTGAGAGCACCACACTTTTATTGTTTATGAATAGTGACTGGCAACTGTAACCAATCAGTGGCACATAACGCACCATTTCAACCTAATCTCCTAAACATAACATCTTTACTATCAACTCAATAAGAAGTTAGAGTTTGACTGAGTGCAAAAAGTTAATAATTAAAATAAGACTGATTTCTTTAGTACAACTGGAAAATAAAAATCTAAAGCATGCAGGGCATGTGGTGAGATTTGATTTTAACTGAACTGCTAATAATATAGAAAGTGTTTCCCTTAAAAGTTAAATTTTAAATGTTAGATAACTTTGTTGAGAGCTGATATCAAGATTTGGATGAGCAGTTATCCATAAAACAAACCTTTTCTTAAATTCGTCTATCAACATTTTTATACAAAAGGCTCATTACTCAACTAACGTCACCGTAACATATCAATAACATCAATAACATACAAATTATTTTAATCTCCGTAAAAAAGATAAATCTAAAAAGGATCATAACACGGTAAGCCGATGAGGTGAAATATAAAAATAGCCCCATTATACCACGAGACGAAGGTTCCTCCGTCTTCGGACTCGCGCGCGCGTCAAACAACAACTACGGTAAAAATCACGACCTTGGCTTGGTTAAAACTTCAAAATCTGATCTGGTAAATTGCTGTCCCTGGGTGGGCAGCGCAGCTGCTATTTCTGACTGGTACTTCTTGGCGTAGTTGAAGAGTTGGGACACGGCAAACTTTGTCCGGAAAGGTAGAGCAGGGAGTTTGCTGTCCGCCACGACGGTGCGGAGTGTGACTGTTGGAGCCTGCCGTACGTCTCGATACCACCTGATACGGGAGGGGGGTTATTCAGAGAGAAGTGTTGATGGAGTTTTATTTAAAAACGAGCATCATGCATGTTCTGAATTAGTAAACTTGGCAAATTTCTAAATCTAGCGGTTTGAAGATATATTTTAATCAATATTTGCTCGATAATCTACATTAGTCCTTAAAATATTCGTAAACAAAATATCTAAATCTTACTTGTCGACTGCCTTTCGGTATTGGTTAACTTCTTTATTGTAAACCAGTTTATTCGCAGAGGAATCCTGAAAAAGAAAAAAATTAACAACATAGTAGCTTAACTCTTCCATATCACCTTACCAAGAATCACCCAAAATTTGACTCATCATAACGAGGCTAAACAAAATGTGGATCAAGTGTTATAACTTTATAAAAAGAAAAGCACGGTACAACAAGTAAAGTTAAAGTTAAAAACCTTATTCAATGTCATGGTGGCGAGAGAGAAGGAGTCCATGAAACACTGTCCTATAACGGACAAATAGGAGTCCATTATAGGGGGCTTCTCGATGTCGAATAAAAATTGTGGGTTCTTGAAAATATTAATCCAGAATCGCAGAGGTAAACTGAAAACAAACGCATTTATACTTAAGTGTCGATATCAAAGCATATGAATTAGGGAATTAATTCTATTGATATACTTTGTCATTTGAAGGGGAGTTTTAAATTTGAGTGTAAATTGCTTCTGATGACAGTTATACTTATATTTGACCAATTCTGACTCTTGGAGGTATATTGGATGTAATGCCCACGTTATGATTACAAAACCATTAATCTCTGACCTGTTTGTTTTCCAGACATGAGCTATTTCTGGATCCTGCCTAGCTGTAGGATTTAGCAAGTCCGTTTTGCTGTCCAGATAGTCGAACAGACATTTAATTGCCGCTGGAATGTTGTTGCTTTCCATGAAAACAGTCGACATCAGCGAGTTTAGAACTTTTCCCAAATGCTCCTGATTAGATAAAATTAGATAATTTAGTTACAAATTAAAAATAAGATTTATCGGCAATAATATATCGGCTGATCGAATAACGTGAAGTAAATACCAAATTGTTACAAATTCAGTGGTTTGGGAATATCAGTTGAGATAAAATAACAAACCTTGGTTTAAATGAGAAATAAAATGACAAACCTTGGTTCGAATGAGGGAGGGAAGGAAAGCTTCGCTCGCAATCTTACAAGTAGTGGTGGATGAGGAAGATGTCTGCCGCTTGTTCACGGCGGGCGATCTGAAGTCCATTTCACCGTTAATGTTCTTCACTAGGTGATACCTGCACAGAATCTATTTATAGGACCTTTCAATGTTAATGTGGAGAAGTTTAGTCATCAAAATTTTTTGGAATTTAAAATAATCTTATTTTGTAAAATTACTAGCCACTAATACATCGGAGGATGTGACAACTTAAAATTATCAGAACACGATTAGTCAGCTTATAACATAAGTGACATAAAATATCTTTTATCTTCCATAACTACCGAATTATACAAAAGAACTTTTTATCGTTGGTTAATACCGAGCTCCTTTACCCGTAGCTATGTTCACGCTGGTTCACTATTCAAGAAAGGCAACTTGCTCTCAGACAAGTCACAAGACAACAGCTATTTTAGTCACTAAACATTTTCATTATTTCTGGACCATCTATCTTATTTGGCTAGAATCCAATACGATGACAGTATATTAAATGGGCTGCCTGCCAGACAGTTGTAGCGCTCAGAAAACTCTTGACTACAATACAGTATGTATCCTGATGGTTATTTCCCTCTTATTATCATGTTATTTCACTATCTCTCTAGTAGTATAGTATACGATGCTACTAGTGGGGGTTGATGCATCATTTCTTACTCTCTCTCTCTCTCTATCTCTCTCTCTCTCCAACCTACCTTGAAACCTCTGACACAGTCTGTCTCTTGACACTGCGAATAGTGCTCATAGGAGCTTGATGGTAGTCATTGAACATGGTGAGGGCGAGAAGATCGTTATTTTGTACTTTGTAGGTCTTCAGAGTGTTGAATTTCTTTTCTGATCCCATCTCACCCATCTGAGAGGATACGATTGTTTCAGGGTGTGGTGATTGAATGTATTTAATAGATTAGGCTGACATTTTAATTATCAATTAGGTGGTTAACTGTTAATTTTCCGTTACCCTCTCATCGTGATCACATAGTTCCATGGAGCCAGACTGGCCGGACTGTGGGGTCCAGAGGAGACTGAGGGTCTCTAGTGGGGGTTGTTGAGAGTAGGGCTGGTGGCGGTAGATATCCCGGTACAACTTCCCTTTGACTTGGGTTATTGTGTCGCAATCCAGGAGGAGGACGGGGTTTTTAGAGCGGGTTCCATCAGGCCCTTCAGCTTGTACTTCCAACTTCTCGTAATCAACCTGGACAAGTTCTAAATCACGTGATGCTCCTTACTTAACATTACAATGTAAATCACGGCTGGAAATTTTCGATCGTATAAATAAAGTTTTGAGGCAATTTCTAAGGTATATTAGGTATTTCGATTAAAAGATTGCACAGAAAATCGGGAGATTAGGTTTGGCCACGATACAGCCTCGTACAGATCGATCGTTTATAGGCTAGCTCGAAAAATATAACTAGTCAAATCAAAAACATGATTTACAGAACTTTCGAGAGATCTATATTGAGCCTTACCTCCTCGCTAAGAATTTTATCCTGAGACAGAGCAAATCGGGCCTGGTGAGTGACGAAGTCGAGTGGACCCAGCTCCACAGTCACAAGTATCTTGTAACACAGATCGTAGAGGGGTGGTCCCGTCATAGTGCACAGGTAATCGTATCTGAAATTGTAAAGTTTAGGGACTCCTCAGTAATATATCGCTGGAGATATAAGGTCCTATTGTATTATTAGAGACGTGGCACAATTGGTTGATTATTTTCCTCTTGCTAATGATCTGGTTTTGTTAGAACAAGAATTGCATTCGTTTTTTCCGCAGAATGGGAAAAAATGTCCGTCAATGAATCGTTTCAACGGACAGACAGTGACACTTTTTACTAAAGAGTCCAATGAAAACTAAGTTAGCTAACATGAATCAGAATTTAAAAGCAATTCCTAATTACACTTTTCTGGATTCTTAGTATGTCACCACCAGAGTTTTATGGTGATTTTGAAGAGTGTCTACTGTAATTTTGATTGTTGATGATTTTACTTTGATGGCAGACGTGCAGCAGTGCCTTAGTTAGAGAGATGAAACATGATACTCTGTATGATGATGTGTTAGAATTATGTAATGAAATAATAAACCACCAACCCGTTAAATTACAGACCTAATTGCTAATTGAATAAATGGCCAAGACACCGAACTGCCAATTCACCGGAAGCCAACTTAACTGCAGAAAATCTTCTGCAAAGCTCGTCTCGTTTAATTAAACAGACATAAATACGGGCCCTAATTCGGGAATCACTACACGATCAAACATACCCTAAAAGTAGCGCCGTAACACCCAGTCGGCATCTCTAGTATAAAAGTATAAAGTCAATTTAGTGACAGTGAGGAGGAAGACTGCTATTTATACCACCTCCAGAAGGTGATGACACTGTAATCTGATACCCCCTCCAGGGTAGTAATAAAATGTTATAATTTTCCGGCCCACATCCAGTCGTTTACCTGACCTTATGTGACACCCCTGGGCAAACTTGATATTTGAATCGCCTTCCTATAATTCTACATTTTGTCTTGTGATGTTAGTATTTGTTGCGTTATTGTTTTCAGCTTGCTGCTCGCTCGTTTCTGCTGACGCTGCTGAGAGCCGGTCTTGTCTTGAAGAACGGGTATGTTGTTGTTGTTGTGTGTGAAATTGTATTTATGGTGGTCGGTGGAGAGGTTGTGTGTATAATTTATCACACATTATTTATTATGTAATGATATGTCACGCGCGTAAAGTTTTGTGAACTTGTTATGAGATATGGAGTTGAAATCGACCATAGCTGGAAATTTCGTGGTAGTTTCCTTCCTGAAGCAGTTAAATAATAAATATCTGCGACGTCAGATTTCAGACATACCTAAGTACACATAGTGCATTGCCTCCCTCAGTGTATTGCCTCGTGATATCGTGAAGAAGGTCGGGTAGACCCATAAAAGCTCATATTGTTAGCCTTAGTCGTTCTCTTAATCGTTACAGCTCTAGTTGTTCAAGTAGTGATGTGCAAGGCTCGACCGGGACCAATTTTTTGGCCGGGACTGGAAAATAGTGTCGGGACCGGGATTAAGCCGGACCGGAATTAAGACCGGAGCAGGGATTAAGCCGGGACCGACGAACCGGGATTTTCGCTAACAAGGTAGAGTAGTGATGCTACCAGCTGTAGTGATGCTACCAGTAGTGATGCTACCAGTAGTGATGCTACCAGTAGTTATGCTACAGTAGTGATGCTACCAGTAGTTATGCTACAGTAGCGATGCTACCAGTAGTAATGCTACCAGTAGTGATGCTACAGTAGCGATGCTACCAGTAGTGATGCTGCCAGTAGTGATGCTACCAGTAGTGATGCTACAAGTAGTGATGCTACCAGTAGTGGTGCTAGCAGTAGAAATGCTACCAGTAATGGTACTACCCAGGAAGTAACGAATAACCCCCTTTCAGTTTGTAGCAGAGGAGCTATATCAGCAGCAATTATCTGAGGCGACTGATTTGGGAGATGATTTGCACTTTTACGTGCCACAATGTGATGTAAGAACTGGAAGTTGGACCCCGCTTCAGAGTGACAGTAAGAACCAGAGATGGTGCGTTGACGAGCAAACAGGTATTGGGTTTAAACTAGTTTTTAGTCCGTTTGTTTCAACATGATTCAGTTAGGTATCTTATCCCAGGATAAATTCCATTTCATTTTTGAAAACACGATTATCTGACTCTGTCCTTCCACACACCTGATATACTAACTACGGGATACATACCATTAAATATTATTACATATTATTACAGGTGATGTCATCTCAAAGAAATCAGACCAGTTGACGAGTTGCACTGGCTGCCTGGCCTCCAAGCTTACAATTGACATGAGCATTGAGCGAGCTGATGAAGCTAGAGCCAGAGTTAACAACGTCTTCATACCAGGGTGCCAGGTATGCTGTGTGTAATTATATTCTAGAACATTCTTTCAACACATTCGAGGAGTAATGGTGAAAACTACATTAGAGACGAATGTTTGAGAAAAATATTCTGACATCTCACATCCTTAATACTGCAATACGATACATATGTGTTATATGTGACGATGATAACTTATTATGTGTAACCAAGCAGAACTAAAATCCAGGTTTACTGTTAAAACTTTCTCCTTTTTTTCTAAAAAAGAGGCTAATCCTGGTGGCGCATTAAAGGATAGCATGAAGATGTTCCGCCTGCCTCTGGGGTGTCCCACCTTCCAGAAAGAAGATACCGGAAATAAAGTGGTACCTGGAATTACTAAATAGCCGAAAACTTTCTCCTGTTCGCAGCCTAGATTGAATGTTATTTGTTTCAGGACGAATTCCCAGAGAAATACGAAGCAAGTCAATGCTGGAACGGGTACTTTAACGCTTGCTGGTGCGTCAACGTTAACACTGGGGAGGCGACTACTTTCCCTTCTCAATACGAGGTTACTACTTTCAATAAACTTAAGTCAAGGTGAAGTTGTTATTAAGATTTCCTGCAAATTGCATTAATTCATTCATTCTTAACTCATCCTAAAGGAAAAGGTTGCCATCCTCTCCATAATCGGATTCGTGGGTTGATTAGATATAAGTACTAGTCCAAACATTCTAGGATAACCGCTCCCCGCAAGGCCACGGACCGGTGCACCCATCAATGCCTTCAATAGTATCCATGGTAACTACAACCATGCAACCACCTATCCAGGACCAGGTGAACTGCAACACGGGTCGACCCCACCACCACCAACACCGGGCCGTCTCCTGGTGCCGGGTCCTGGAGAGCCTCACCACCAGCTACTACAGTGTTTATGAGAACGTCAAGGAGTGGAAACAGGGATCAGGCTTGGAAACCACCTCTAATGTGAAGCCTGACGTTACGATACAGGTTTGTGATCAGTTTGAGGGGGTAAGGATGTGGGAATTTATACACTAAAATGATTCCAACTGCCGTAACTGTTTATGTTTTTCTTCAACGAAATGATAATATGTAACCCAGATAAAATGCGATGAAAACGGGCAGTTTGCGGAGGAACAGTGCGTGGGGGAGGACTGCTGGTGTGTGGATCCGAAATCAGGGCACGTTGAGAAGGAGTGTCCTCGGCACCGAGCCAAGAGATCCCTCTACTCTATCTGTCAGGATAACAGAATTCAGCAACTCGAGGCTTACTACGAGTTTGTTTCCATGGGTAGTTTAAATGAAACCATACTTAGTACAAACCCTTCTGTATCGATACTCAGAACTCACATGACTCGGGTAATTTTGAAAAAAAAGGATTCGGACACAAATCTATAGATGCCGTAGTACAGTACAATATTAAGCTAACATTCCACTCGTTCCATCAGGTGTGATGCTGGAACACTTCACTATTCCACAGTGCACTCTGTTAGGAGGCTGGGACGAGATCCAGTGCTCCAACCAGACGGTGAACGGCGAGAAGACGTGCTGGTGCGTGGATCAGATCACAGGAACACAGACCACTAATGCCAGCAAGTCCCTACAGTCGTGCGATAGTTGCCAGGCACATCAGCTCAGAGCTGCTCAGGCTGATGTTACGGTGTGTTAATTTATACGGTTTAAAATAATAATCTAAACGTTTTATTCCAACCAATGATAGTGGGGCCAGAAATAATTAGATTTACTCATCTATCTCTTATCAAGGAGGAAAATAAAATTACCTAGACATTACCTCCAACCCACGTCCCTCCGCAGGACACAACAACTTGCGACCAATCAGGGCAATACTATACAGTAATCCAGTGCACCAGCTCCAACCGCAGAGTTGACGGCGAGACGACATGCTGGTGTGTCGATCACGTGACCGGGCGAGTTCTGCACAGCAGCAGGCACGGTGACGTTACCGGGGAACTGTGCGAGAGAGAGGACAGACTCTACAATTTGAAGAGCAGAAACTGAGAGGAGAACGAATGTGGAATTTTGGGAATGAGAAATTTCCCGGGCTAAGAGACCATTTCTGATGGATCAAATGACTGTTAGGAAATTAAAATGAGCAGAATGATGATCCTGAACTCCCTGTGAGACTACGTTATTTTTGTACCCTTAGTCTTAAGGGGAGATACACCAAAACCGTTTTTGCTCCGAACATCGATTTTATTTTATATTATTTTTAAATAGACAAAAAGAATAAGATTGTACACCTTCAAAAATTTTTAAAAATATTCCCTCATCGAGAAAAAAAAATATTTTTCTTTTTCGAAAATTTTTAAAATTTGGAGAAGTCTGTCACTGTAATACCGATAGTTCGGCCATTTAAAACGTTGTTTGGCTGATTTTTTTACTGAACATTACTTACACTCCGTACTAGAAGCCATTGAAAGGATTATATAATTGAACAATAAATGACCAAGTTACAGACCGAACAAGGTGAAAAAAGAAAAATTGGGATTTTTGCCTACCACCAAAGTTGTACATTTCACCACCCGCCCAGGTCATCAGATATCGCTTCAAAAATTCTTGTGAGTGTAGTTGATGATCATGGCAAGCTTTTTGGAACCGGATTTTTCTCAATTTTGAGTTTTAAGCTATGCAATGTGGCCTCAAACGACTTAGTAAAATTCATCGTAAAAAAGGGCAAAAAGGCAGATTTAAGGCTTAAAATACCTATAACTCAAAAAGTATCAGTTTTTTTGAAATAATTTTTACAGGATCGTAATCAGCTTGGTAAGACGAATCTTTTAGTACGACATTTATAATATTCAAAGCCACAAAATTTGTAAAAATATGTGTACAATTTGTACAAAATGTATACAAGGGGGGACCCTTGTGTTCGAGCTAGAAAATTATTTAAGACAATTTGTCTTCTAAAAGCACCTATTTGGTACTAAAAGATTCGTCTTACCAAGCTGATTACGATCCTGTAAAAATTATTTCAAAAAAACTGATACTTTTTGAGTTATAGGTATTTTAAGCCTTAAATCTGCCTTTTTTGCCCTTTTTTACGATGAATTTTACTAAGTCGTTTGAGGCCACATTGCATAGCTTAAAACTCAAAATTGAGAAAAATCCGGTTCCAAAAAGCTTGCCATGATCATCAACTACACTCACAAGAATTTTTGAAGCGATATCTGATGACCTGGGCGGGTGGTGAAATGTACAACTTTGGTGGTAGGCAAAAATCCCAATTTTTCTTTTTTCACCTTGTTCGGTCTGTAACTTGGTCATTTATTGTTCAATTATATAATCCTTTCAATGGCTTCTAGTACGGAGTGTAAGTAATGTTCAGTAAAAAAATCAGCCAAACAACTTTTTAAATGGCCGAACTAACGGTATTACAGTGACAGACTTCTCCAAATTTTAAAAATTTTCGAAAAAGAAAAATATTTTTTTTCTCGATGAGGGAATATTTTTAAAAATTTTTGAAGGTGTACAATCTTATTCTTTTTGTCTATTTAAAAATAATATAAAATAAAATCGATGTTCGGAGCAAAAACGGTTTTGGTGTATCTCCCCTTAAGACTCGGTTACTGATGAAAAATAGCGCATTCTTTATTATTAAACAAAATTTCTGGTTGATTCAATGACTTAACAATTGTCACTTTTTATCTTGTAACTTTTAAAGTGATATGGCTATCACTTAAAATTAAAGTTAACTGCTTTTTTATTTTATCTAAATTATTATATTATATCCATCATGCATGTGTACAAATTTTCAAAATGACTATTTCTGCTTAAAAATCAAAGATTTTTATGGGTCTCAATGTTAAGGAGCGCATGATCCATATCTTTGTTGAAAAACTCGGCTTGAACCTTAATTAACGGATCTTTCAGTTATCTGTAATAAAGTTAAAGTTTGGAATAAATTCAATTTAATTCGATCTAAAAATAACTATACTAAGATCCCGAAGTAATTAAAATTGGGTTACCAATAAGAAAATTCAAGAAGAATTATTTAGTGTGGAGCAGAATAAAACTTACAGTGCAAGAGATAACCAATTAGTTAGCAGCTTCTCCGCCACAGATTTAGTGGCCCTGAGTAGCAGTTTTGGAGTTTTGTTGATATCGTTGAGTATGAGCTTGTCTAGCAGGGTGAAGAGTATCTTGGAGAGGTAGCTGAAGTCACTGTACAGCGCTATGGTTAGGTAGGAGGCCACTTCACATCTGTGTGCCACCTGAAGTTGGATAAATAATTAACTTTTAACAGCTCCCATTAATCGTTTCAGTGTAGATCTCTAGCACTATTGAATTATTCAGTGTAGATCTCTAGCACTATTGAATTATTTCGGGACACGTAAAAAGTATTATGGAGATAACACATACTGTTATTAGATTATATACCTTATCGGACCTTATTTGGACGGACATCAATTGAACGCTGGAGGCCTTAACGTTCATCTTAATGTCCGTTCAAATAAAGTCCGTTCATTTAAGGTCCGTTCAAGTTAAAGTCCGTTAAATTTTTTTCAAAAATTCGAACTTTTATCCAGAATATGACAACTATGAGAACTTTATTGTGCCGTAAGTTAACGACGGAAAGGTTCTCCTTGGTCTGCCGGAGGCACAAAAAACTCTACTAGTATGTGATGTTTTCAAGGGGAACTTTGCGGAAAAAGTCAAAGAAATTATGGCACTCAACAACATAGTTCATGAGCTAGTCTCCGCCAACATTACAAACTTGTTCCAGCCTCTACATATATTACGGTAAATCGTGTTGCCAAGGACATTGTCTATTAGACGAGACTAAAGAGTTTCTCCAATATAAAATTGATTCATAGATTGCAACGGCGCTTGGTACATCGACTTTAATTCTATTTTAAGTCTATATAATTATCTGCACCCGGGAATTAAAAACTGCAAAATCTTGCAGCTTCGGGAAATTATATTACCACAATGATATCAGAGTTCAGACTACGAAATATGTAAGTCAACGAAAATAAATCCCATGGAAAAAGCGCTCTTGATGAATCGCTAATGAGAGCGGCAACTGGAAAAAGGACGGTCAAGCAAAACCCTTGCAAATCTGATCGAAGATATTCCCTCTAAGAGTTACTCCCAAGCTCCCACACTGTAAAACACTAAATAATGTCGAGTCCTAAATAATGGCGATCAGTGCAGACCAAACAGCAAAGCCAAAAAAAGAAAAGGCTTAGCTGTAGGCGTAGCTGAGACACCTCACAGCAAGTAGACCAAAGTGGCTCTTGCTTGTGAAAGGTGTATCAACTCCCCGCTTGGTTCATCTAGGCCTGATGGAGTTCTCTTCCAATTATTCAATTAGACAGTTATATATAGTATAGCCTTCTGAAGCAGCCCACAAGTGAGCCAGAAAGGAGGTTAACTTATTTTATTCCAGCTGTTGTGAGCCTAATGATCATTATGAAAGTCTGGAAATAGAGATCAAGTTTCTAGCTGACTCATTGAAACTGAAAAGACGGTAAAACTGGGATAAAAAACATTACACGAACGCCCAAAAAAGATGAACCAATTGATATGAGCAACGTTTAAAATTTAACAGCGTTTTAACGTTGTATTTAATTTTAGATTGTGAATGAAAAGTTCTTAAACGTTTTATAGGCCAACGTTGGTTAATTTTAAAGGTTAATTTTTTAACGTTGAACTATTTCATGCACGAAAGTCGAAAACCCATTGATGAAGATGATATGCGATATTTAACACTGATCATGTACACATCTTTTAACATTTTTACTGCTTAACGACTGCTTTTCTTACTTACTGTATAAAAATGGATTTAAAAATCATTTTTTGAAATAAAAAACGTTAAAAAAAATGAGAAATTTTTTGATGGTTTTGAGTGCCTTCTAGCGTTCATATTAATGTCCGTTCATAATTATGTCCGTTCATTTAATGTCCGTCCGAATAAGGTCCACACTATTTTCATTACACGTACAACGTGATATTATCATCAGTGTATAGTAGTGTGTTCAACACCAACTAAACCGATCAATTGCCAATCTGCGAAACATTTATTTATTATTATCACTTCGAGATGGCAGGGCCTACTCTCATGCTGTATATACATATATATATATATATATACAGCATGAGAGTAGGCCCTGCCATCTCGAAGTGATAATAACACATACTGAGTAAGTGTCATCTTGATATCTTGTGTACGTCGTACACAAGATATCACGAGCAAAAGTCAGGGTGATCAGTGCTACAGTGTAACGATTGTTATTATGAGCCAAACCTGAAACTCTCGCTGTCTCTCAATGACATCTATGAAAGTGATGAGGAACTGTTGGTTGTTGAGGAACTTGGTGAACTCTTGGATCTGGTAGTCTGGGACCTCACAGTGGTCAAGCTGCGGGCAGGTTTAACATTTAAGGGGGGGGGGGGGGGGGGGGGGGGGGTGGGGGGGGGGGGGGGTTCCAATTTCCAACAAATCGAATCAAACATGGATCTTGCAGCATTGAAATTGAATTTATTACATTGAGTCATCCAAATGAGCATTAACTATCCAGGAATTGGACAAGACTTAACAGTTTTATAAAGTTATATCTAATAAGCTTTATGAGTGTAGACAAAGCTACTTCTTATCCCTTTCCCCAGCATTGCAGCCCTATCCCCAGCTCAAACCCTAACTTTCCAGTCCTTAATGAATTAAGGAAACAATAGGTCACCGCTCATCGGAGAGATTATGTTTTACTAAAGCTCTGCAGAATCAGACTTTCTGCACGATCCATCCTTATCAAATATCACTTTGTTATGGATACATGGTCTACTTGTGTAGTCTGTACTCTGATGTGTAGTACATGTGTACTACACATGTACAATGTGGGTGTGTACATGTACAATACACTGTACATGTGTACTACACATGTACACATCCACAAGTACAAAGCGTTCAACATTCTATAAGACTGATATCATGGTTTCTATTAAATTATCTATACACCCATTTTTTTTCACAGTTCAGTATTACACTAATTTCACAGTTCAGTATTACACTAATTGCATACGTTGCTCTTTTCTTACTCTCTTATCTTAGTGCTTATCTCTGTTGATTGTAACGTGCAGCTACAGTGGTTTGTGTATCACCGTGTTACACGACCATGACCATCCCGCCCAGCGAGTATGGTGAAAAGGAGATCAACATGTTAAGGGGTGACTCAGTTGAACTTCTCAGCAAGGCTTTGAACGAGATGGAGATCACAGCAATAAGGCAACTATCCCCTTCGTGCGTGAAGAAGATGAACAAGGGTACTGCGTGTGACTTGTTGTACGATGCATTAAAATATTTGGAGGAGTTCACTGGTGTCGTATCCACGGACTACAAGATGGCCTCCAACTCAGTTAAACATCAGATGTTCGAGACACAGGAGACCATCATTAAGCTGCAGTCAGAACTTCTAGCCTGCAAAAATGAACAGTTGGAATCGTTGCAGACGTCAGTTAAATCGTCAGTCGGAGAGTCTGTCAAGGCTGAATTCCAATCCTTCAGCTCGGTATTACAGGCGAATTGTCCAGAATCTCAGAAGCCAGTCAGTTCTGAAATGATCAAGAGAGCTGTGAAAACTGTGGTACAGGAGGAAGACCGAAACAAAAATCTGATGATTTTTGGTTTATCGGAGCAGGACAATGAGGAGCTCAGCACCGTGGTCAGTGAAGTGTTCTTAGCAATCGGAGAGAAACCCAGAATGGAAGCTAGTAGAGTCGGAAAGCTCAAACCTGGCAAGGCTGTGAGACCAGTTAAAGTTACTGCGACAAGTGCAACAATTGTTAATCAGATTCTTGCTAAATCGAGAAACCTGCGAGCAACGGAAAAGTTTAAAACTGTTTTTATCAGCCCAGATCGATCTCCAGAACAGAGAGCCAAGCAAAGAGAACTCGTCAGGGACATGAAACGACTGGTAACTGAGCAGCCTGATAAGCTACACTTTATCAGAAACGGTGCTATAAAGAGTACTGATAAGACTAATAAGACTGCAGAATGAGCTTGTGTGTTTTTAATAATTGATTATTATTAGTGTATTCAAGTTTTTTTTGTGTGGAGGATGTTTTCACTCACTCTTGTGTGCCCAGTCTTGCACTGTCAGTATTTCTCGACACTTTGAGCACACAAAACTGTCAGTTTTCGCGACAATTGTCAGATTTCGTTTTCAGTTCTGTCAATTTCAAGCGCTACTAGCTCTACTACTAGTAGTCTACTTCAGCTCACATTAAAGGGAGTTTTCGTCGTGCGTGTAGCGCCCTTCAAGTTTAACTTGGACGGATAGGATTTATAAAACTTCTGATTATAATATTTATACTATATTGTATTTTGTATTTATGTATTTTAGTAAATGGTCATTAGAACCACCGGCACCGTCCGGGCCCAAACAAACAAACCATGAGATAAGAGCACAGACTTCCGTGGAAGAGAACGCTGAAGAGAGCTGTTCTGCACCCAGACAAAGGTTTTACACATGACATTTTGATATATCAATAAAAGAGCTGCATACTAGCTGGTTTGACTTCAACATGTGCTATATATTATATATATTATATTATGAGCTAGACGCCTAGATTTTAGATATTATCGTTGACAAGGGGAGTGGATTGATTACACAGAACCATTTGCAACTATCCTGTAATAGTTCAGTAGCCTTGTATTTGTCTGAAATCTTTGCCTTCAAGCATACATTGCATGAAACGGGATTTTAGCTTTTTAACACCAATAACGATAAAACCACTTGATAAAATATCGCTAACAAAGGATACCATAAAAGACCTATCATCAAGCTTCGTACTTCATAGTATTAGTAGCTGAGTTGCTGATGGGCACGGAACGACCATGAACCATGCAAAATTTGGTATAACTACCGACACCATGTAATAAATAAATCTAATAAAACTTAAACAGTTGATCGAATATGTATCTTCTTGTCATCTTGTGATATTAGTAGGATCAAAGTTCATGTTCATTTTAGCAGTGCCTGTTTGAGTTGAACGTTAGGGAGAATTTATAAGTACCTGGAGATTGTTGAGTATCTTCTTTTTATCCACATTCGGGAACATGATATGAACCAAATAGTCACAGTAGATTCGGTACGGTATTTCACGGGGATCGATCTTTATACTTGCTGAGTGATCCGTCATCAGCGTCAACTCCGTGAACTCTAGAAATAAATGTAAAATTAGTTCTACGAATCTGCAAACTCTTTACCAAGGATGATGGCTATTCAGTATTCAGCTCTGCGAATCTACATACTAAAAAATCTGCCCTCAATTCCAGAATTCATTCAAACGGCATATTCACACTTTACAGTTAACGGAACTATTTAATATCATGGTTAAGGCTAGACTTATATGCCGCTTTAGTTCATTGATTTAAAATCAAATCAGCTAGGAGTATTGAATAACCTTGCCGAGCAGTCTTAGCATAGGACGCCTCCACTTTGTCAATCTCATGTTGATGCTTCTTCTCCAAGTCAATTATGTGATGTTTGTCGTGGCGATTCTTTACCACCAGTATGATGAATATAGCCATGAAGGCCGCCACCACTCCTGAAAGGATCATATTTGTTGTAAAGTCAAAACCCGATTAACCGCCATCCTTACTTTCATTTCATTTCATATATGTGAAAATACTAGGGGCAACATTCGTCATCGCAACATGCGATGAAAAGGTAACTCTGGCTCATGACTGGAGTAATCAAACCAACGGGATAACTTTGCTCTTGTTCGAATTGACCTATATTTTTGTAGAACCGATCCAGTATTTATTTAGTTCATTGTTACCTTATATAATATATAAATGTACATATTCAACAATCTACCTGTGTCACAATAGCTGGGTACCTGCTAATTACACAAATTATACTCTGCTGATTACCTGCACCTAATTAGCTACAAGTTATTGTAATTACCTGCACCGATGTAAATCCACAACATCTGGAATCCCTTTTCTACATAGGCGATAGTTCCTAAGGAATCCTCGTAAAGTCCAATTTTCATCTTCACTGGAAAGCGGTCTGTTTCCTGATCCCCAAGTAAAGCTCGCTTGGTTCGCCCCTCTGGTGGAGGATGGTTTATACTCGCTGAAAGAGAATTATTAGAGTCAAATCATGTTATGCTTCCTTAATATTAGCGCAGAATAAGATTATTACATTATATAATTTTTTACTTTGTTAACGCAAAAATATCGGTTAGTATCAGGTATTATGTTACAGGAATGAGGAAATAGATTTTATCAGTGACAAGAGAGTGTCAAGTGAGAGTTAAGTGTTTATTAGTTTAACTATTTATTAGGTTCACCAAGGTTTCCAAACTGTTAAGGAACTTCGCAACGATTTCATCAATTTAATCCCAGTAACAGAACTACGCGTGACCATCAAGCTCAAAGCCATTACAGGAATCACATTTATATAATTCAGACTATAGAAGCTGCAGAACTATTGTATATATTAGTGCTCACTGCTCGCAAGTATTGCAATCCAGACAAATTGCTTATAATAATCTAGCTACAGCAACTGTAATTAATGCACTTATAATAATCCAAATTTCGAAATTGGTATTTATCTTTAAGTTTAAGCATAATATTCTTCAGAAAACGGCAGAACTAATGAAAGGCTTTATAAGGAAACGTCATAACTTCATTATTCCAGTCACTGGACAAGGCAGAACTAATGCAAGGCTTTAAATTCTAACTATTAGAATTTACCTAGTTCTTTAACTTTAGCAGACGCTCACGTCAACTGTTGTTGATCATACCAAAAACTTGCGTGCAATGAAGTTATGCTGAACTCCCCACTTGAGCCCACTTTATTGTAATGACATGTTTTGCTTTTTGTCGACAAACGACACTACACACAATAAATTGAACGCCTTTAATTAAGTATAAAAATACTTGTTTCTCACCTTTCACTTCCTCCACGGTAGGTACAACGCACACAAATCTCCCCAACTGTCCGTCACTATCGTCGATCACATGAACTGTAGCGTTGTGGCACGGTAACTTTCCGATCATTATCATCACTTGGTCTCCAAATCTGTGGCAATTATCGTAATAAATAATAATATTATATCCTTGTTAAAATCTCTCAAGACTCATTTCTCGTTGAAAAGCTCCAATGCTTTTACCAAAAAAGATATATATGATAAATACTTTACCAGTGTAACTTGAGCAATGTACATTTACATTTGGACATTATATAATTCATGAACGTTCCAGTGTTTGATCCAATGATATACTACTCATATACGAGTAATAAACAATATCGCTGTTCATATAAATTACTGATTCGAGCTTCCGACTATAATTAATATGGTCCATGAAGGACAAATCAGGCAATTTAAATAAAATTCCGTTTCACTGACCAGTAGAAAATAATTTTAATAAGAAAAATTTAGAATTTATTCATTCCTTCTGTTCATTAAGTGTGGAAATTGTATCTATTATTTAAGTAACTCTAAACAATCAGAAGAAGTATATAATATACTATCTTGTGCACGCAAAGTACAAAGCGGTTTTGAACTTCATATATGAAGTTCAAAACCGCTTTGTACTTTGCGTGCACAAGATAGTTGCCATGTTAACGAAGAAGTATTTAACACTTCAGATGTGATGGTTTAAAAGGTATATACAATATTTATAACACAAAAGCGAAGTCAAATTGAAATTTATATTTTGTATTTTGTACTTAGCAATTTGTAATTTCAGTTATAGGTTTTTGAATATGCTTTAATATTTCGATCTTTAATAAATTTCCTGACGTCTAATTTGCATTATTACTTAAACACTTTCGAGTATTTGTCTTATAAGGTGTTCATACAAATGTCCCAATATCTTCTGGACTACTTAATACATGAGTCAGACAGGTACAAGGTTATTAATCTAGGCAGGGGTCCTCGTGAGAAGGAAAAGTTACCACAAGTTACCAAATTATACCCATTCTTATAAATATATCCGGCAAATCATACTGGTCATATTATTTAGTCGACCCTGTAAGTGTACGTCTTTCATGGGGGTAGCGTTTGAGATTGGTCCGTTGTTGCATTGGATTTGCACGAGTAATAAACCTCCCAATGTTTAAGTGAAGTTGAGTATAAACGGCTTAGTAATAATTTCTGTTGCGTACGTGTAAATACAGTCAGATCAGTTTTAAAAACAGGAAGCTGCCCAAAGTTATTCACATAGCTAGTGCATTAAAGGACACTGTACAGAGTACATATTGAAGATATTGTACTAACACCATGGCAAAGCCGTGATGGCTGTAATATACAATCCGTAGTTTTTCATTTCCGTTTAAATCCCACTTCAATAGCTGCACTAAAACTGCACCTATTTCTATACGCTTTACACAACCCTCATTGTGGAGCAAGTGCGTAAGTACATAACATACTGTTTTCATTAGATCTTGGAGCAGTCAATTCTGGGCCACTCTTTCCGCATACCTTACACATTTAAATCTGGATTAAGAGTAAAGACCTATTTTTATTTGGCAGAATGCCCAAAGATTGTCACCATGTTGGTATTGACTAGGATCGTGTCTAAATTTACAGCTAATAAAAACGGAAAACATACTCTAACTTTTCAGCCTTTTGTCTTTTTTCAAATATTGCACAAAATATAATTACGGGTTATTTAGCATGTCAAACGACAAAAAGCACATACCAAATCTTTACAACATGGGCAGAATATTTTCGTTCATCATCAGTACCTCAATTATAAATGTAATAGATTTGTATTGTTGTAATTAGTTTAAAAGGGCATACCTGTGAATCTGAGTCATGGTCATGTTGATGTGGCAGGGTGACCCAATGTCACAAATCAGAGTGTTGTTCATCCCACCATCAAAGTTATTGCTGATAACAGTTGGAGAATCCAGGACGGTCATTATTCTTTTAGTCTGACAGAGCTCTATTACCTGAGGGATTGTAGGTGTTGTTACTAAGTTACTAAGTTTATTATTAAAGTTACTAAGTTACTAAGTTACTAAGTTACTAAAGTTGCTAAGTTACTAAGGTAACGGCCGTATTTATGCGTACGGTTCTTTAAAGCAGCCATCTGCTTAATAAATTCTTGATTTGCTAGTTTAGACTTTCATTTAAAACTAAAAATCTATGTAACATTTATTGAGGTGATTCTGAAGACATTAAACAGCTGAAACAAGTTGACAAGTTGGGTATTACAGAGCTTACCGTCCAGTCTGACTACTACAGTCTAAAAGTCATGTGATAAACACGTGTTGTAAACTTGAGGGGATTATAGAGCACTTACCCCGTCCATCTTGAAGCTGTAACTGTAAGACTCAGACGTATTAGCAGGAAGAGTGAACACAAGTTCGCTATCATTCCTCTCCACAGCCTCAATAAACGTGACGTCATCGGAGCCACACGTGACGTCATAACTTGCGCTTCTCTTGGTAACGGTGTTCTCGTTATTTATTACCAGTTGAGGGCTTTGTATGATGTCAAAGTTACTTCCATGTACAGTGATGTTCAGTCCACCTGCAAATTTTCAATTGTTAATAATAATATGAAGTTTAACAATTAATAATAACAGCAATGGGACCCAAACAGAAATCTTGGCGCTATTTTCTAGCTAATATCATTATTCTAGCCCATATAATAATGTACACTTGCGAGTGATGTTACTACACATTTCTTCTGTTTTAGTTGTACTATCTCTCTACTTGCCACTTGGTGACAGCTGGTTACGATACTCTCTAGATAGTATCTATTATATATCTAGTACGATACTATCAGGACTAACTCTAGCAACACTCAGGACATCAGGAGAGTGGAACTTAAGAGGCTTGACAAACTCGTTACTAAGAGCTCTCGAAAAAGTAAATTTACATTCTCTTGAAGCCAACTAAATAATCCGGGGTTTTTTTTAACAGGAGGCACGGTATGCGAGAGTCAACATGTTCCTGTAATATAATAATCAAATCCGGTGATATTGAAATTTATAAAAATAAATAATGAGATCACGAACGACCCTGATTAGATCACACTACTGCCAATTACAGAGCATGTGTTTTAACGTAGCAACATATATTGTAATTAGTTAAGTAACTACCATAACCCACTACACAATTCCTCCCTGACTCATTTGTACGGGAAGTAGGATTTAGGACTGAAAATAAGGTGTAAATTGTGTGACACATTCCCAGAACAGAATCTACTACACAAGAAAGTGACCAATAAACCGATCATTAACTTAACTACGTACCCTGGAGAAGAGTACAATCAGGCAGGACCAAGTCCACTACAGGATCAGGTCCGTAGGAGAAGCTCTGGCTAGCGGTGGTGTTAGCATTTCCCAGGTACACAGTCACTGTCTGGTTATCAGCTCCTGATGGGGCAATGCACTCCAGGGACTGTGATGTGATGTTGCAGCTGAAAGGGGGACGGTGTTGTTAGAGGTGTTACTGGTGTTACTGGTGTTATTGTTAGTAGAGGTATTGTTAGAGGTGTTGTGCTATTATAGAGTCGTCAGGGTATTTGAGTGAGAATTGCCGGGAAGTGCCGGGATTAGAGATAATATATAATATAGACACGGCACGCAAACGGGTATATTTCAGATAGACCCGAGGTGTCTGTCTTTGTGTCTTCGCTTCGGGACCACACAAAGACAGACAACTCGTGCCCAGGGCACTCAGTGCTGCTTATCAGATAGATACCGCTCTGAAATAGACCCGTCTGCGTGCCGTGTAAATATATATCTGGTCAGGTTAAGATCCTGATCAAGCTAACACTAGTAGGTGGACTATTGAGGCCACGCCACAGTTCAATTAGGATATTGTCAGTGAATAGCATCGCTTCATTTTGCACACTTAATAAGCAACATTTAATTCAGAAAATTGTTCAGACCTCCAATTTCGGCAGATCAATTTCCCGGATATTGCTGGCATATGAGTAGCAAAATTTCCATTAATATGCCCTTACCAAAATCTTCTATTCACAGATTTCTACGAATAATGTAAAAAATCCCGAGTATCAAGTGGAGCTCACTAGCGTGAGTTCCCGAATGATAATGGTTTCTCTAGAATGTAGAAAAATAATAGCAGTAATAGCAGGAACTAAAGTGCGGACAATGCTCTTGGCAGGGAAGTTCATGGAATTATAAATCATTTAAGGACTTATAAAGTATTTAACTGTCTATGTGCAGTTACGAATTCTTTGCAGTCCGTGTTATGTAGTCCTTGTTATGTAGTCCGTGGTTTACATACCTGACACCCTCACAGTTGTTGCCGTCCCCGATGGTCACAGTAGTGTGATCTGGAACACAAATCCTAGTCCCGTTCACTGTGATCCTAGTTCCTCCTGACTCTGGGCCTTTGCTAGGGATCACGTTGGAGATGTCCAGCGGCTGTAAGAGTGGTCATGTCAACAAGGGATTATCAACTTTATCGTCCAAGATTTACAATAGGTAAATTTATGAGGAACACAATCGTACTTTTATTTCGTTTATCAAAATTTAGAGGGCAAATGAGATCAAACACATGAGGGAAGAAGTTACCGCGAACAAGAATTCCTTGTCAGACTTGTGGGGAGCCACACTACCCGAGTACTGAATAGTGACGGTAGTAGATTTAGCATCGTACAGGGACACCAGACTTAGTTCCTCTATGATGTTGGGTGTGATACATCGCAGCCTGGAGAGAAGAGAATGGTCAGTACTACTATTACTGACTACTAGCCAATAAAAATCCCTCTTTTGAGGGTCACCTCCCCAGCAGTACTCACATCTATTTATAGATGTGAATATTTATAAACATCTCATAGAACGTATTTTTGTCTTGATTATTATTTTATATTTAGCTTCAGTTAAGCGCATTTAAAAGCTCATGTCAAAACTTCAAAAAACAACTCAGAATTTGAATGGGCTTGGATGCAGAGACGTGATTATACCCGATTTGCTTCAAATATCTCCAAGTTGGGGCTTTTCGAGGATTAATAGACGAATTGTGACAGTTTGCGATCAGTAAGTGGTCATAAGCCAAATTAGAAACGATTAGTATCAGATTTCGCTCCGCTTATTTCTTTTATCCCGTCTGAATTCTGATATATAATAGAGCAATTTCGCGGTTTGCCATTTTTGATTTTTCTACCCCGAGCTTGGTAGAATACAAATCTGTGAATTTGTTGGAACATAAAATTCCAAAATTATTGCAACCGTTTTCATCTGCCGTTTTTCTGACAATGCTCTTAAAGACCATTTTTGAAATTCTGAATTCTTTAACCCAAATTTCTTTTTTGAGTCAAGATCTATCCCTGAAAACCATCAGAGACCATTAGAACCAATCGCTGGCGTCCAGAAACGACCACCATTTGAAACGCTTAAAATGCCAAAATGTGTCATAATTCATAAATGTGTCAAAAGTGTTTGAAAACGTCGGATTATTGAGTGGTCTTTAAGCACTTTTGTAAGAAAACGGCAGATTTGACCCTTAATAAAATCAAAGTTTGAAATTTCAAATTTGGTCACGACTTTTTTAAGGATTTTCAAAAACTCCTGAAGTTTCATGAATGTTAATCTATTGTTAATCAGCTGAACATTCCATAGCAAACAACTGTCAGCTTCCTACACAATTTTGGAAAAATCACATTTCAGAATTTTTGATTAAGTCGTGTATTGTCAGATGTACAATTGATTGTCCCGTTTGACAAGCTATCCACTCAAAACCAGCTGAGCTGAGTGGTATAACAGTTTAACCTTGATCTTACTACTGAATTAATATATTATCTCCAGTTTATTAATATGTTGCTATTTTCAAGAGCCATGTTAATCAAACTCAATAGTTTCGTATGCAAAACTGATCTTATTATTTTAATCATTTCCAGTACTTCAAAATTAACTTACTCGGTCGAGTCTATAATCGTGGAGTCCTGACAGACGATAGTCCGACCAGAACCAATACCATCAGGAACTATGAACTGTATCTCGATAGTCTGAGCTGCTACGGCCAGACTTTTACCGGTTAAAGTAATCGGGACACCTCCTTCTCCTGGGCTCCAATCTGGTACAATCTGAAGGTATTAATATTGATTACTGGACTAGTAAAGTGAAGGATCGAAAGAGAGATTGATTTACCCATTTAGCTTGAATTCCATTTGGCTTGAAACTTTGACATTTAAGTAACACTGATAACAAAGATTTATCACTTAGTGGAACAGAGAAAGAATTAGAGTACAAAGTGACGTTAAAAACAGATTTTCCATTTATTCAATGTGATCGTGATTGGTCGATGAAACGACTCAAAAATGAAGTTTGGAATCCATATCACATTAGACGATCAATATTTCTATCGCATTTTGACTACATTTTAAGCTTTAATCAAATTAGAGTTGATCTGATGACAGCAAATTCTCGTAAAAAAGAGAAGAGATCTTATCATAAATCAAATTTTCGGCTTTGTTTCCAACTTTACAGATGTATTTTTAGAATATATTTTTAGAATAGCAGCAATCAGCATGTAATCGCTAATTCGATTGAGCGATCCGGCGAAGTCACATGGTATTGTATATAAGTTGTTTGGTGCTTCTTAACTTTGATTCTTACGCTGACTACAAGCTGTATTGTGTAAACAGATTGTTTGAGAGTTGACTTTGTTTTCGTTTTTACCAGTTCATTAGAGTATGTAATGACTCTATACACCATCGTAATATGCATAACTTTTGACATGTTTGCATCAAATAAATACCATATATTATTAGTTAGTATTTCTATATGTTTGCTGGTAGCCTTTGGTTTTATCGAATAGAACCTCATTACATAAGATTATTAGCTGTGCGTGTATTATCCGTGCCTGAAGTAGACTAGCAGGAACCCGTCTAACTCTAAAATGGTGTCAAGAAACTACAATAACTATTTATTTTGCGATTTTGACACCCCCACTCGGGGGTCCAAGTTTCGGGACCTACATTTTTTATTCTTCTGCCAATTTTTAATTTCTTCGTATTGATAAAAAGGTCACAAAAGCACTCGACCCAGCCAAAAGAGTTTCGATTGTATATCTCACGGTATATGTATAATTAAAAAAATAAAATGGTAGAGCCATTAATCATTATTGACAGTTTTTAAAGCTATAAATGGCCAGCACATTTTAACGAACGCGAATTTATGTCCAATGAGCTGAGGTTTATTGCAACGTAAGTGCCGAGTAAAGAAGTGTAAAGAAGCGGTGCCGCAAGGTGCTTGCAGCTGGGGGACGACAATTTAAACATCTTAATTGAAATTATTGAACTGTTTTTGTAAGGGAATTTTGATTAGTTGATTTCAATTATCCTAAAACTTGGTGTTTTCCTGTCTAGACTCTAGCAAAGTTATTATTGGTATCCAATCAATCATGAATAGATTGAGTGGCCGGATCCCTGATTGAGTGCAGAGATCACGTATCCAATGGATTTTGAAATGGTCATAACTCAGATGTATGCAAGTGTGTGCAAACAATTTGAGTTCCTAGCTTAATTGGGCGTGGCTTACGAAACTTTGAATTTGATGAGTTAAAAAATCTCTTCCTGTACGCTTTGTGTTAACGGTTAGTCCTCAACCGCTTTAGCGCCAACAGTCCGTGAACAATGATGGAGAGGCATAAGCTGCACCACTAGTCATGTGATCGATAATTATAAATATCATCAAATGCCAGAGCTGAACACCTTAAGAGTTAAGATCGCCATCGTCAAAACCAGTATATAAATTATCAATAATTTAAATTTTAATGTTGTTTGCAATTGGTGTCAGATACAAGCAGCGTCCACTGTATCATTACGCTCGACAGCTGCATTCAAAATAATAGTTCAATAGAACATATGCCGTTTATTTTACAGACGATTTTTAAATAATTTGTAATTCTAGGTTGTGACTAAACCCTAAGCCTTACATCCTCGAAGGGAATCTCAGGAATGATAGGGACAATCGAAATTGATGAGAGGGAAACGTACGTTCAAGTGCTAATAACTATCATCTTTACTCTTGCTTTTACTTTGGGCACTATCGGCAACGTTTGGGTCATCTACGCCGTGAAATATCACCGAGCTATTAAACTGGACGCTACTTCGGTACAGTATAAAGAACCCGATTTACCGTGCCGTGATTTACCGTGCCGCCATTCACTCCGAACGTTTTCTATCGAAATATTTGGACACATCAGGAAAAATTTAATGGTTTAATCAAAACAAGAAGTTATTATCAAAAATAACCCTGATCAATAATTCTAGATATTTTCAGGTTTGGATCATACAGACACTGAGTATAGCGGACTTTGGACACGGCGTCTTCATTATATTTCCCTCCGTGATAGCCAACATGAACAACAATAAGTGGCCCCTAGGCGATCTCCTCTGCCGACTAAATTTCGCAAACAAGTACACATTTCTTATCGCAAACGTCCTCCTGATTACATTACTATCTCTGAACAGACTCAGCAGGTGTATGTACCCACTCCGGGCTTCATCACGGCCTATCGAACCTCGTAAGAAAGTTTTCATTTCTGGCGGGGTGTTCCTGGGTTTGCTGGTTGTTCCCTCCTGGACAACTTTTGTAACATTTTATAACAAAGATATTGGATTTATAGCTTATTCGAGCCTTCAGTCACAGTGTCAGTTTGACTTGTATTTGAATTCTACGTGGAGGACTGCGGACATGATCTTTGAAAAAGCTGCATTTGCGATTTTTGACTTTGTGCCAACAATAGTCATGATTGTGGCGAATGTCATATTGATTGTGATCGCTATTAGAACACAGTTTCAACTCAGCATAGAAATTCAAAAAAGGTTCCACAAATCAGCGAGTGTGATGCTTGTGACAGTAACGTTTCTTCTAACCACATTACCATTATTTATCTGGCATTATTTCTACTCAAACAGTCACCCGGTGGCGTTCAACAAATACTTTGCCCGCACCATCCTATGTCTAAAAATGATCCCAAGTTTCTCCAATCCTATAATATATTTCGGAAACAACAAAAGTTTCAGGAAGTTTACACTGTGGAAGTTAAGGAATTTCTTTATAAAGGATGTACAGAGGGTGAGAAGCCCCTTTGGTCCGGAAGTGTATGTAAACACGGTCATTAGAGCTAGACGGCCGGATACGCAATTACAAAGACAAACTACAGTTTAGATCCCAGTCACTAGGAACCCTCAATCCTCATAAACCGGAATCACTGGTGTTACTGCGGAGTTTCAACTAAGGTAGAACTCCCAATTTATTTACCACAGGATTATCAGAACCCAATAGTGTTCATTCACATGATTTCACGTGCTTTGATGTCATACATAGCGTTATTTATTTATTCAGATATTAATTTATAACCATAACATCATTAAATGTTATGCCTTATAATATGTTCTATGCAAAGGGTTGAACAATTTTGATGCTTATTTATGTTAATTCAAAAAATATCTATCTAGGATAACATGCAGTTATTTATTACAACTCTAATGTCAAAGTTTATGTTAAATGTTACATCTGTATTAACATTGATATTTAACTTATTTCCATATAACCATATTATCATATCGTTATCATATATACGTAGAAGGGTTTTTATGTTAACAGAATAAATTTCCGATTTAGTTTATCCTGCATAGCTCCGTATAAGAGAATCATTGAATCGTATATTAGGTTTCAATTATTACTGTGTAAACTTCGATTCTATTCTTTACCCAGAGACAAATTACAAATAAATTAATGTCTATGATCCCCAAAAAGCTTTAACATCAAACCTGTTGTATCTCGGTGTTTTTCAGTAAACATTTGGTCGAGTCCTCGGCGATAGATTCATCCTCACAAATAGTTTCGCCAGAATAAGCACATCGGTCAGTACAGAACCTACAGTTGTACTCTGCGTGGCTGAAGAGACCCACACACTGGACGCAGTCACTTGCCAGCAGTCCACATGCGTATACTGTCACTGAATTACAACAACATTAGATTAAATAGCACGTGTTAGTTCCATGAAGATAGCTATTGATAATAATACTGTTAGTTGGTTATAACTTTAAGACTTCATACTCACGTTGGCTTACAACAACAATCACTCCGGCGTTATCACCTTTAGCACTGAAAATTATAATCAAGTTAGTCAAAAATTATAGCATAATAGAGTAGAAAATTCGATAACAACATTATTAATAGAGCTGCTATGACACAGAAATAAAATTCAATAAGTTTGGCAAACTGACCCATAGACGATGCTTATGTCGATTTTACTTTCTTTTGCATTGTACTCAGGGAACTCCTGGTCGACCTGTGAACAAGTAAAAGTAAAATATTTGTACTCTACTTATAGATATGAGTTTTGAGAACCATTTTTTACAATCGCAGACTTTGCTAAATTCGAAAACGTGACGGCTAAGATTGTTACACTGAGAGCCTAATGAATTTTCCACATTATTGACGATATTCTAAATAGTGAGCTGATTGTACATTGCATATACAAGGACCTGTTCTTTAGTCGTTACATATTAATAACCATAACATAACACAACAATTCAATAACGGGTGGGGACAACCTGGATCCTGACTCCTGAGCTATATAATCAAGTTTATGCTGCGCGCGCGCAGCATGCAGTATAGTCGTACGTGTAATATTGCATAAACATCGTACTTTAATATTTCAGATACTACACGCGCGTTCCGTAAAAGTGGGCAAATTCCACGCGTTCGCGAATTGGCGGTTCAATAACAATGCCACTATCTAAATCAAGTTGACATTTCTGGTGAAAGTTCTGTAGTGTTTGATGTCAAACGGAAACAATTTTCAGGTTAAGGGAGAATTTCTGGCAATTCCCCAACACAACATGTCTAACAATTCGTATAAGTCAGCGGATTTGAAAAGTAAAAACTTGCTCACCTGAACACCATCACAGAAAACTGTATCATTCGTTGATGAATCGGAGATTTTGAAGAGTCGTGTTAGCGAACTGTTCAAACGACTGGATATCATACATTGATAAACGTCCCTAAACTGAAAATTCGAATAGTTGTAAGAAGGAATTCTAGATCATTAGTGTTTAACTCGAAATAACTGTTTTAAAATTGTTCAACGCAGTTTAGCATGTACACACGCTTAAAACGAACTGTAAAGGTTGTAACATTAAACAAAGTATAAAACCTGAAATAAACAAAAACCTGGTATTCGGGAAGGTAGTCAACATTTACGACAACATTTTTTATCGTATCACGTGACAGTTTAGGAGGCTGTATTTCCGTTATCGCTGGACAGTTTTCCGGGGCCTGGAAGAAGTCGATTTGTCAACTTGTTTCCAGTTCATTTTTGGAAAAGAAATATCTGGTGAGGTTAAGGATATGGAAAAATATACCTTTTTCTTTGAATGTCACTGTCCATTATTAAATAATGAAAGATAAGACAAATACAAAAATCACTTAATAATTATTAAGCACTTACAGTAACTTTGTACTCAACACAGATAGCATCCGCCTCCTTACTACACGTCCCTTCAAGTGGACACCAGGAGCAAAACTTGTTAACTCCACTGCAGTTAGAACATCTGAAATGAGGTCACGTGAGAAATTATCACGTGATAAAAAGATATTTTAAGTTTTAATGTCCTGTGTTACTTGACATAGCTGCTGGCCAGAACCGAGGTACAAAATCATTGCAGTAAATTTTGTTCAGTAATTATCTAAACAATAGCAAAACTAGAAACTGATTTCTGGTTCGTGGTTAGGGCAATTCCACGGTAAGGTTCCACTTGGTGAAAATGAAAAATGTTAAGATAGGCACCTAATTTTGGTTAAATTATGTTCATTAGACTCTTAACCTTACAGGTCAACAAAAGATTTTTATTTCATATTGCATTAACTTTTGATTTTTCTCATTCAAAGGAACACTACTCGGAAATGACAATAATCATTCAAATTTTCAAAGGGCCATAGTTTGGGTATGCAGCAATATTTCTCTATGAAATTTCATACACTTAAGCATAGGCATAAGAATGAGAGCTATGCAAAGTTTCAAAACCGTTACTCAAATGCTTTTTCTAAAAAATTTCCACAAAGATGGTGTCGCGTCCGTCACAAAATTAAGCAAAAAAGTTTTTTCAGAGCCACATAGTGCTATTTATATTCAAAAAACCACTGTAACCTATCTCTTCTGAAGGTAAGGGAGTACCGTAAAAATTATCAGGCTTGTATCTTTTAAGAAAAAAATTTTGGAAGGGGGGTCCCAACTTGTCGCGTCCGTCACATTTTTTTGAAAATGCTCCAAAAGATCTTTTAACAGACTTTAAATGCAGTTTTGTTAAAGCTGATACCGTCCTTAACAAAACGGTGTTGTCAAATCGAAAATTGGACAGAAAATGACTGAGTTGTGTATAATTTTGTATATGCCCATATATGGGCGTACGGCTCACTTTTAGCCATTTTTATCCATATTTCCATTATTTTGACTAAAACCAGGACAAATTGAAGTCAAATAAGGTTTGACTATGTTGACTAGACTATCAAATAACATCATATGCAATTCAATAATTGAATTTACTGAGTTTTGCCATTTTATTTGCCTTAACCTTTTTCAGGGGAAAAGGCACAAAAAATGGACTTTACCCTATTTTCGCATATTTTTGAAGTAAAAATTCAATATCTTCCACATTTTAAACACTAAAGTAATGAAACTTTTGGGAGATGGTCTCAACAGTGTGATGTGTTGAACAGAGATGAATGTTTTACCAGAGTTATAAATTTGTTCAAGTAGAGAAATAATTGCTGCCCCTAGATTGATACCCTAGCGTATGCCCAAAATGGACGATTTTGGCTATTGCAGACCTCGTGGAAGTACTAGCGGCCTAAAAATTGGCATAAATACAGAATAAAGGTCACTGAACAAGATAAAAGTGTCAAATAGAAGATTTGGAGAAATTGAAAAAAAAACGTGTGTCCGTCACAGTCACGTCCGTCACAATTTGAAAATGGCGCCACGCAAACAAAAACTGAGCAATCTCCAAAAAAATGGTATCTCAGAAATCCCTAAACCTTTTTCTATCACTGCATGTCCAAATTAGAGATAATAGATAACGTTTTGAGATAGATTTGAGTACCTTCTGAGTAGACACCCAAAAAAAGTGTCATATTTAAGTCGCGTCCGTCACAGGGGTGCTATCTCAGAAAGTAATAATGGTAGGGGTCTGAAATTTTCACACAACCTATAGAAAGGTTAAATGTGGACTAATAAATAGTTTAAGCTGATAAAGAAGCAACATCCTGAGCACAACATTCGTTTGAACTTTAAAAAATGGCATAATCGTGGTGTCCGTCACGGTGGAATTGCCCGTTAGACATTTTAAATGATAAAAACAGAATTACTGATTTTACACATTTACTGATCAAACAAAAGAAGAATAGATTTTCAAGAATACAAAATGAGAAAATGTTAATTTTCAGATCTGTACTATATACGTATTATTTTAAGTCTTTACTCGTCTTATATTAGTGGCACCCTGTAGACACCAAACAATTAGTTAGTCCCGCTTATAACAGTCTAGCAGCTCATTTGAACTCATGAATATACTATTACTGTCTGGACATGTAGGCAGGCATGACGACCTTCTGGCACACCAACTTCTGTTCTGGGACGCGCACGCTCAGCATGGATACAGGAGACCGGGGAGGCCCCACCTTACGTTTCTGGACATGCTAAAGAAGGACACCAGCCTTTCCTGTGTTGAAGAGATAAGATCTGTTATGCTTGACCGCGACGTGTGGCGAGGAATTGTAGCTGCTCGGACCAAGAAGCCGACTTAAGTCAGTCAGTAAGTCATATACTATTACTACTACTACATGCTGTGCTCATGAATATTGAAGACGCAATGTTTAAAAGTAAACCACAAGACACAGCCTGCAGGTTGGTACCCTGCCAACTTGGGTGAAGTTTACATTTAAATTACTGGTGTAGTGGTGTGTACAAGGTATTATGGGTTTGTCAGAGCGGTAATCTTTGTATGAAAGACATCTTGCAAATCTTGCAAATTATGCTGTATTACGTTTTGCTAACAATTATTAATGTTTGTTGTGTACACAACATCCAATGACTACTCACTATGTTGAAAACATGTATTTTCTGATGTAACCTAAGTATGTATCTGGAATGTTCTGGTAAAGTTAGCTTCAACATAAAGTTAACATAAACAGTAATTAAAGTTGCAGAGTGATTGCTTTGGTGTAAACATTTTTAACAGAAGTTCCACTTATTGATTGAAAACTCTCAAATATTAGACGAGTAACTTTAAGTACTCAATTGTATTTTGAATTCCAACTCGGCATAGTTAATGTGCAAATACATTTACTATGCGGAGTTAGTATTCAAAATATAATCAACACAGTTTAAAGAAACTACATTAAGCTTAACTGCAAGATTCAATTACAAGGAAACATTTTCTAAATGGCTAGATTTTATTAGATAAGACCACAAATTTTGAGGTAGTAGCAGATTCAGAATAAACCTGACGTCAAAGTTATAAATTGTGGGTTTCTTTTCTCGTAAATACGTGTAAGTGTACAAAATTCAAACTTCTAACTTCTACTGATAAAAAGGAATTCCATTTTGACGTCATAAGACTTAAATTACATAAAATGATAAGAAGCTTAATAATTGAAGCGCAATATTGGCTGGGACCCATTTTTTGTAGTTGAGTCCTTTTAAACATCCTTTCGATGAATTTGTTAATAACATTTAAGTGCACTGGATTATAACTATCCACGGAAAAATAACCCATATTCTTTGGAACCGTCCTATTAATTAATCACACCATTTAAACACAACACATGAAACACAACCGGTTAACACTTCAAACTCCCTAACTTCTCAAATTCACTCAACTTGTTATCTCCACACCGCCAAAACACCATACACTTCCCAAACCTCTACTAATGTCAATCAGACACCATTTGTAGGCATCTAATTCAATTTGGGGACTTCCTGTACAGGGGTAATACTAGAAGGTATACTAGGTTAAACTAGGTTCTATACTCTCAGTGTATTACAGTGTATTTAGTATTAGAGTAATGAGTATCACGTGTTTAGTTTAATCTTTTATAACCAGCTAGAGAGAGTACATTCTCACGCTTCATATAAATCATCAATCAGGGCACACGGCGGTGATAATAAACCCCATCAGTGTGTAACTCTCAGAGATAAGGGGCTCCCCGGTTTAATGAAGTATTAACAGCTGTTATGGTCTGATAAGGAACGTATCACAGTCTGTAACAGTCTACAGGTGATAACATCAAGATACACGCTGGTAGATAATATCTAGATACACACAAGAGTACACTGGTTGATATCATGATCACATCATGACGCGGTGTCTGAGGAGTGTCTGGTGTCTGTGGTAATGAGAGGCCAGTTTAGTTGGTTACCCGACTGAGTGTTTAGTTAAAATTAGATGTGATCTCGAGCAGTAGTTACATCTTCATAAGATACAGTTCATATTCTGTGGCAGTGCTTCCTAATCGTAATATCATCAGGAAGTGCGCCCCACTAACCCTAAACTTGGAGTTTGAGTAGTATTTAGCCTTTAGGAATGAGGCAGTGGTTATATATAACCCCAAACTTCAGACGGGAATATGCTGAATTCTGGTGAGAATAGTCAAAATAGTGCAATTAAAGTGACTCGTTTGACCTATTTTCCGAAATCATAGGATAACAGTTGCAGTTGAGAATTGATAGGCTTTTGTCCCGGTTTAAAAATACCAGTCTGATACTGCGTCTCTGGTAACATCAGTCTTAAAACATTTTACACATTTTAGACTATATCTCAAATTCCACATCGGTCTAAAAATGTTGAGCTTCAAACGTGTTTTGAAAACGCTGACTAACGACTTTTTCTTATAATTCCCTAATAACACTTGACCACTAAACGTTCATGCACAGTGAAGACCTCAACAACAGTCACCAAAACTCGACACATTACACTGCACATACTTATCCTGTATCACGTGTCCAATCATCAGCTGATCACGTGTACAATCATCACTTAATCTAATAATCTTCCCACATATAACCAGATCACTAACACTTCGTTTAAATTCCTCACATATCAGGTTGCTGTCTGTCGTGGTGACATCGGTTAAAACTGCCGTCCAATTAAGATATTACACCAGAAGGTGAGACATTTTAAACTTGGCTAAGACTTTTTTTGGCTGCAGGCAAGACATTCCAGACTCCTGTAATATTTGAATATTATGCTGACTATTATTAGAAATAAATTTCAGTTTCTCTCCTCATATACACGATAACACATTGGCGCACTTAGCACGTCGCGGGTGCTAAGTGCTGGTAATTATTCGTCTCGGTTTTACTGAACGCGCACATGATAATAGATTGAGCGGTAGTGGAATTATAACAATTACAAAATTCCATGTAACTACGTAGGAGAACAGTGCACAACTCACTTGTAGTGCAGGTGCAAATTTAAATTATCTAAATTATTAGAAGTTTCCTTATAGGCAGTTGATGGTGTGGCGCGGCACACTATATTATAACCAGCGTCTC